ATAGCATACACTCTTATTCTATAAATCATTAAATAACATAATAATGTCATACACTCACATTCTATAAATCATTAAATAATATAATAATATCGTACACTCACATTCTATAAATCATTAAATAATATAATGATATCATACACTCATATTCTATAAATCATTAAATAATATAATAATATCATACACTAACATTCTATAAATCATTAAATAATATAATAATGTCATACACCCAGATTCTACAAATCATTAAATAATATAATAATATCATACACTCACATTCTATAAATTATTAAATAATATAATAATATCATACACTCACATTCTATAAATCATTAAATAATTTAATAATATCATACACTCACATTCTATAAATCATTTAATAATATAATGATATCATATACTCACATTCTATAAATCATTAAATAATATAATAATATCATACACTCACATTCTATAAATCATTAAATATTATAATAATATCATACACTCACATTATGTAAATCATTAAATAATATAATAATATCATACACTCACATTCTACAAATCATTAAATAATATAATAATATCATACACTAACATTCTATAAATCATTAAATAATATAATAATGTCATACACTCACATTCTATAAATCATTAAATAATATAATAATATCATACACTCACATTATGTAAATCATTAAATAATATAATAATATCATACACTCACATTCTATAAATCATTAAATAATATAATAATATCATACACTCACATTCTATAAATCATTAAATAATATAATAATATCATACACTCACATTCTATAAATCATTAAATAATATAATAATATCATACACTCACATTATGTAAATCATTAAATATTATAATAATATCATACACTCACATTATGTAAATCATTCAAGTAATTATCAATATAATATGTAAATATATAATATATATGCTCACATTCTGTAAACTTTTAATGAAATATAACAATATTATGAAAATTCCATAAAACGTGTAACAGATATATATGAAATAAGAATTAGATGTACCTGTACAGCCATCAACATTAGATTCAGCCAATCCCCAAAAACCATCCTTACATTCTGAACATTTCTCTCCCTGAACGTTAGTTTTACAATCACAGGTACCATTGGAAGCACAATTATTTAAACTTGTTTTCACAGTACCTTCTAGATTACAACCACAAACTGAAATATACAAATAGTATTTAGTTTTTACCACAACCAAAGATAAACTTATTTTGCTTGTTCATCCTAAACCTGCATCGGGCTGACAGTTTGACACAAAAATAGATTCTTAACTTTTGTAAGTAGATATCTCAAAAAATAATCAAATTAAATACCAAATTTAATGCTCCATGAAAAGTTTAAAGGTTTTCTCTCAATTGTAAAAGTTTTTCCAATTTTTGCGGACACAAGATTTCCATTAGTTTTAAAGAATCAGTCAAATTTGTTACTTACGTATACAGTAACTACCACAATCATAAGCTACAAATAAAAAACATCAAAATAATGACTCAAAAAAATCATTGACTAACAATCTGAATACTTCCATTGTAAATATGATTCCCTTTTCTTGTACACCTGTGAGTATTTATTACACAAACAAATCTTTCAAAAGTCATTGTTTAATTTCATTCATACAATTTTATTTCTGAATATTTATTGATTTTCCTTTTCATTTGCTTCCTTTGGTCAGGAAAATTTCCAAACCAAAACAATGGTGGACAATATGATTAAATTTTCCTGAGCTAAAAAATCCTATAGTCAGTCTATGAAATGGAAGTTTTACATCCAGCTTTTCTGCATTGATTGGGTCACTAGGGGCAACACAATGCAGTGTGCAAAAATTGAAATTTTGCCAGTCCAGCTGCATTAGCCTATTCTTTTTCCATTTCCAAATGGAATGCACTGTCTGCAGAACAGTTTATTGTCCTATCTGAAGTACTAAAAGATTGTTCCATTTCATCCCCTACCGTTTCCATCACTGACAAGTTGGAAATTGAACCAGGTTAGCAAGCAAGGGATTAACTCGTTGAGCAACTTTAGCTCCCCATACAACAGTCAAAGGATAAGTTTATATTGTATGGCACCATGGTTCAAAAACAATCTTCCACCAACCTCACAATATCTTAGAATACATAATTTTTGATTTAAGGATAAGAGAAGTTAAGAAAATTTAAATTTTTCAAAGAAACTTACATGCACCAGAAGAATCTGAAATAAGCATGAAAATTGACTGTTAGAATTTCATTTTATTTTACACAAAATGATGCTTTTCCATGTAATTTTTGTACGTAGTGGATCTGAATGAGAATATTTTGGGCACATACAAGTGAAGATTTTAGGTACAAATTGTGGAGGTACATGTCTGGTGCAGTATATCTGATGCAGTGTCTGATGAGGAAGTATCTGATGTTGAAGTGTCTGATAATGCAATATCTGATGATGCAGTCTCTGATGCAGTGTCTGATGATGCAGTATCTAGCAGTGTATGGTGCAAGATTATCAATACAGCAGAAAATAAAAGGTTGCAGAAATTCTTTTATTTTCTACTGTATCAATAATCCTGCACTGCACATGACTTGTTTTTTTTTTGCAATAAAGGGATTTATACACAAATTGTGATCTAAAGAAAAATTCTTCAAATTCTAATTGAGCTGCAGTTGACGAATTTTGCTTTTTCAACAAAATACAATGCAATAACAACCTTATTTACCTACTGTAATTTCAAATGTAACAAATATTTTTAAGATCATGAAAAATCATTAATAGGATTGGCATATGATGTGTCAAAGCTATCGAATAATATATAATAATGATTTTTTTGAATTCAAGAGAAGATTACAGAGAATGACAAGTTCAGAATGAATCATAATAAAATTAACATATATTATGAAAATCAATACTGTATCAGGTGTAGTTATATACACTTGAATAAGTTTCTATTAGTCATTATTCAATACAATGTGGGTGGAGCCTTCTACATTATTATAATCCAATTTCAATTCACTTAACAACAAATATATAACAAAATGTCAGCCCAAAAAAAACTGGCTCATTTATGATTCATTAGCCACTAAAAGTTAACAATAATGATTGAATTGAAAACAAAATTCATTTGATTACAGCCTGTCGAAATTTGCAGGGCTGGTGTTTGGGCAGTACTCAAGATATCAGCCCCACATTCAGTTTTCATTATCAAATAAGCTCTTTTTAAAAAATGTTTTGTCTTCCCTTGAGTAATATTTAGTAAAAGTCTCAACACGCTTTGATCAATTAAGATGAATTATAACTTGATATTTACTGAGCACAAAGATTTATTTTAAATTCACTTGTATTCAGAATCAATTTGATTACAACATGTTAACACATAAATAACTGGAGATAATGAATTTATAACAATTACTATAATGACATTGTTACTTGATAAAGACGTAATGTGGCAAGTTATTATTTTTAAGTAATTGTTATTCATATAATTAAATAATCTATTCTCCAATTGCTAAATAACTCACAATGAAGATAGCTTGCTTTAATCTCAACTAAGTTTTTAAAAAAACTGAGAATAAATAAACTAGTACTAACGATCCGAACCTCAAAACGAAACCCGAAATTCATAACAACATTGGTAGCAGCTAATGAACTTTTGACATGAGGAAGTATATCAGTCATAAGTGAGTAAGTATTTCATAATGGAAAGTGGTATCAGGTGTCTAGAGTAGAAATTGTTCAATGAAAAAATGAGTGAGAAAAAAGAAAGCCTACCTTGACAAGTTCCAGTAGGTTTTGGTGGGGTGACAGTTTCATTAGTTTTATCTCTGGTATAATAAGAGTTTATAGAATATCCAGATATACATTCATCACAGAAATCACCTTTAGTATTATTCAAACAATTATCACAAACTCCATATCCTTTACCTTCATCATAGTGACAGCTTTCAGCATGGTCATTACAAAAACATTCTAAAATATCATGAAAGTCATTGTTAAAGATGGAGATAAAAGACAGGATAAAATATCTGAACACATGAAATAAAAGATAATATACGCCCACTGATAGCTTTCAGAAATGATGAATTTCTGTAGTTTTCAAAATCTTTTATTTTTCAGGTGAAAATAAACAATTTCCACGTTTTCACAAGTGTCACCAATTCAGTCAAGATTAATGCCTTCTATAGTATTTATGAACTAGAAATTGAACTTGTATGAAGAACAGTGTTGTCTTCTGAATTTTCTTATTCTAAATAGACTTCAACCCCAGGTGATGAATGAATTTCGTCAAGAATAACAACAGAGTAACTTACTTTGACATACATTTGCTTCATTTCGTTTTCCCATTTTCCAAGTTTGATTATTATATAGTGGCATACATTCTTCACAATGTGCTCCCATGGTATTATGTTCACATTCGCATTCATCTGAATTCTACAATAACAAAAATTAGGTCCCTCAGTGACATACACGATAGAATAAATATACCAAAAAAACATTAGCTTAGTGGATTCTCTGAGAGTTGACAGAACCAGGATAATAGTGGCATAAGCTTCTGGGAGAGTTGGCAAGTCCTGCCTAATTAGCAACACCCACCACAGTACAATCTTGTACATGGCCATTTTAATGCCACATTTGCTAGAATGATATCTATGATTGATATCAATGATTAAAGCAGTATCTCTATAACTTGTTATATAGTTGATAAACTTTACAGAGAATTAATTTGTCCATTCACTCATATAACACATATTACAAACAATCAATAAATTCTCAGAAATTCCTAATTTCTATTGTGAGTAAAATGATAAATAACAAATGGTAGTATGTCAAATATAACAGAATAGAGCTGTCTGAATATTCATGCTAAAGGGATATACTTTTCTAAATATTCATATTAACTTGAAGGGATATAAACTTGAAGGGATATATTTGTCTTAATATTTATATTTACTTGAAGGGATATAGTTGTCTAAATATCTATATTAACTTGAAGGGATATAATTGTCTTAATATTTATATTAACTTGAAGGGATATAATTGTCTTAATATTTATATTAACTTGAAGGGATATAATTGTCTTAATATTTATATTAACTTGAAGGGATATAAACTTGAAGGGATATATTTGTCTTAATATTTATATTAACTTGAAGGAATATAGTTGTCTAAATATCTATATTAACTTGAAGGGATATAATTGTCTTAATATTTATATTAACTTGAAGGGATATAATTGTCTTAATATCTATATTAACTTGAAGGGATATAGTTGTCTTAATATTTATATCAACTTGACGGGATATAGTTGTCTTATATTTATATTAACTTGAAGGGATATAGTTGTCTAAATATCTATATTAACTTGAAGGGATATAATTGTCTAAATATCTATATTAACTTGAAGGGATATAATTGTCTAAATATCTATATTAACTTGAAGGGATATAATTGTCTAACTATCAATATTAACTTGAAGGGATATAATTGTCTTATTATTTATATTAACTTGAAGGGATATAGTTGTCTAAATATCTATATTAACTTGAGGGGATATAGTTGTCTAAATATCTATATTAACTCGAAGGGATATAGTTGTCTAAATATCTATATTAACTTGAAGGGATATAATTGTCTAAATATCTATATTAACTTGAAGGGATATAGTTGTCTAAATATCTATATTAACTTTTGCGTTTGATTTTGCTTAATCGACATAACACAAAAACGCCTAAAAAAATTTCTTATATTGAATTTTTAGTCTGTATTCCATTAAATGACATTGTGACAACTGGATATGCCTATATTCAATAATAAAGTATTGTATATAAGCACATACAATTCAAATACTATATATTATTTTTGAAAAACACTGGATGATATAGAAATCATAGATCTCACCTGCCCCTTGCAAACAGAACTATGGCCATAACAATAACAATAACCATGAACACTTAAGTCAGATACAACATAATATGACTGTAATGGCTTATCAGAGTTTGGTTTATGAAGTTGTACTCTTATACCACTTGTGACAAAATGATCTGCAACTTCTTTATTATCAGTAAACTCAGGATCATATTCTAAACCAGGATTAAATTCAACCTGAAAAATAAAATAGTTACAAAGAGAATACATATTTCTACGGAGCCCCTTAAGCGCAATTTTCAACACTTTTCATTATTATTTCGAATTATTTTAAACGAATTAGTTATTTCGTTAAAACGAAAGAATTATTTCGTTTAAACGAAATAATATCACATATTTCGTTTAAACGAAATAATAAATAAATATGTTTACAATTGCGCCTTAGGGGCTCCGTATATTTCACTGTTGAGTTTAGGTATAGAATTTATCTTTCTCAAAAAACAAAACAATGAATTATAAGAAAATCATTCTGAAGCAAACTCATAAAACGATCATTCTAAACCAAATAATTCTACCAAATTTTTACTAGCACTTTCGATGGAAAGTCCTAATGCTAAGGCCCACAAATCAATTCATTTATGATCAATTGAAATAAATGAAATGAAATGAATGGAGTTTTACATCTTACTTTTCTGCACCATGTGGGCTAATGGAGACGGGCAACGCCATGCAGGGTGCAATGAGGGAAATTTTGCCAGGACAGCGGCATTAGCCTGCTCTTTTTCAATTTTGAACTGTCGAACTGGCGAGGGATCTTTAACGTGCACAGTCTGTAGCACACAGGGCCTCGGTTTATTGTCCCATCCGAACGTCTAGACGCTTTTTCCATGTCAGCCCCTCTTACCTGCATCACTAGGAAACCGGGTTGAAAAATCGGAAGGTATTATCTTGACCTATGCCAGGATTGAACCCTGGATCTTCAGGTTAGCAAGCAAGCGTCTAACTCACTGAGCCACTGCGGTTCCCTATGACCAATTGAAACCAAAATAAATGATGGTATCATTATTGTGATATTAATGTATTTATTTTAGTTTTTTATAAGAATAATATATTTTTTTGATTTAATTACACCCTCCCTTTCAATGATAATTCAGGGCTATCCCAGCATCAAAATCATAGGCTACTTACAAAAAAGGTGTCATTATGAACACCACCAGCATTCCCTCCAATTTTATGACCATCTTTTACACAAAAAGCCGATGTTGCTGATAAATCAGGACCACCTACTTTCTGTTCTTCCACTCCACTGAAATCATTACAGTTCTCAGCAAAATACCTCCATGGTACCCAATTATTATTATCTTTGTCTAACTTTTCAAAGTAAATAGCTTTTGGTCTGGAATCATACTTTACATCTTTTGGACTATTTAACGCCTTAAAGTATAACTTAATATCTTTAATTGTAAAATTTGATCCTAGATTTAACTCTAAAACTTGTGGTGTTGCTACTGCTCCTTCAGTAGCTATTGTTAGACCAGACTGCCAATATGTGTCTAAATTGGGATTATAGCCAGTAAGAGTTTTACCATCAACTTCATATGAAAATGGACTCCTATCTCTTACATTGTCTATTTTATTATTCACATTACACGTAAAATTTTTCCCATCAGCAGTTCCCAAACCTTCAAAACGTGTGGGTGCAGAACAGGTACTTGTTGCTGATAAAGTGATAGCAGTATTTGCTGTATCTGCTACAAAGTCTTTCACTTTAGGAAAACATCCACGTTTGTTTGAACACTGTCCATTTGAAAAACGATATGTCGAAAACAGGAGAAAAAGAAAAAGTACACTTTTATAATACATAATGATGTTCAAATTTGTACAGAAAACAATATTGTCACATTCTGCGACTCCAACAATTCGAAATTTGTTCTCCAAGTCCAGATATTTTCCAATATTACATAACACAAGTTCCAGAAGATGGTTGGATCAACAAAACCTTATGGTTTTTTACTTACTAAATACATAGAATAGTCAATTTGACTAACATGACTCACTATTTAAAGCATTGATTATTCAGATTCAAGTGAGCTAGTTATTTGAGTTTGATGGTAACACATGTTCAGTATTGATTTAGTTGTAATAAACGTTTGGTGTATATTTTATGAATACAGGTGTTACTGCCTTCCTGTATCCAAACAGAAAATATATTTTTTTAATGAAATTTATCAATATAAATCTAAATTTGTAATTCCTAGTTTCTGCATCATATGATTAAATTATTTTATATTACTAACTGAAATTGTTACAGTTTTAAAATTTGGTCATAATAGTTTATTGGTTTCTAAACATTCAAAAATGCAGAAAGGTCACTAAAATATGTTGGCTTTACAATGTCCTAAGATAAAAAAACTATAAATGTCCCCTATATTTTCTATATATTGATATCTATCCTGGAACATGTATATGAACAGAGGCATACACATTTTTAAAATATTTAATATTCATTTCCAAATAGATTTTCAGTTTAAAGAGAATTACTTGTCTACCACTTGATAGAGCTAGATTTATATTACTTCTTTTTTTAATATTGCATACAATTCAATGGCAATTCAACAGAAAATCACCACAGACCAAAGAAATCTAGACTGCTGTCACTTCAAACACATCATTAACATTCAAATATTCAGATATATATTTGGTCATAATTGCCATTAAAATTTCACATTTAAGTAGATAACTAACTGCCATTTTGGTAGGTAGATTTGTCTTGAATATAATGAAATAGTCTTCAGAATTATTAGAAATGTAAGAAAATCGCATAATTCCTACAAAAATATCTCAAGCCAGGAATTTCTTTTCCTTTTTCTATAGATGTCTTTACTCTATGAAGATATATGTCAAGAAAAGAGACGAGTCTTTTTAACTTTTAAACTTGGATAATTCTAGACACACATGGATTTGTAGGCTCAAATTTTAATGGTGAGCTCTGAACACTTTTACAGATTGCTAAGTTAAAAAAAAGAACCAACAGTCATACAAAATGGTACAATCAAAAGCAAATCGACAGCTTAGAATTGTAGCCTGCCATATAAGGTAAAATACCTGAACTAAACAGACATTTTTTGTCAACAAGCATAGGACTACAGACAAAATTTCATCAAATTCAGATATATCTGTAGCTTTCGTCAAATTCACAATGAAAAATAGTGAACTTTAAGGATCTCACGAACAAAACATGCACCATACGCATGTTAACTCAAGGGGGGACAGGGACTAATCCTTATTCAAGTTTTAAGATATTTTAATTGTTCATCTTTTTACAACATAATCATTTTGACAAGGATTGATTAAAAAACAAAAGTAAAATTGCAACCATCAGTAGATATAAAGTATGGACACATACAAACATGCCATATGCTTTAAAATGAAAACATTGTTGCATCAAATCTTGTACAAAACTGGAGAGTGTATATCAATATTGATGATAATTATATGTGTGATATTCGTCGATACAAGTGTTGTCTAATAAAATTTTCATAGCCAGACACTTTCACATCGAAACATGGCTTGCTTGGAAAATGTCTCACAAATGAGACATGACTTGCGAATTCAATCAATAGCACTGGAAAGTCTTTGACCAATCTGGCTGATGAGACCTATCATTACATGTATTTTCCAAGTACAATTCACCTTTTAAATATTTACAGTCCATCAAACAGAGGGATGTATTCTACATGAATATTTTTCTAATACCTATATCAAAATTCACAATAGGGTTCAGGTAAGTAACAATTGGTTAAAAAAAACAACAACATATGCTATATTTAATAATATTTATAACTTCAATCTAGAGAATGGTGATGAAAATTTTAATCTACTAGTATACGATGAAGCTAACTTGGCTTCTATATCATCATATAGTGGTAGTTTATCTAATGTACCATAAGCTGCTACAGCCGGTTTTGATCGTAACATTCTACTAGCTACACGATTAATATCTTCTGCTGTAATTTGATCTGAAAAATTCAAATGACAGCATTTAAGTTAAGAGAATAAGTTGTATCATTTTCAAGTTTTTGTGACCATCTAGATGCAGTTTAAAACAAAGTTGTTATCAAAATAATATAGGGCAAGATTGAAATAATAACATATATAGGCGAGCCAAGATTTTTGTGACCATCTGGCTGCAGTTCAAAACATGCACACAAACAGTCCAATTCATTTTTAGGTATATTAAGTAGTCATTAACACCATATAGGTCTGGATTGTAATGTGTCCATTATTATTAATTCTATCTCAAAATATAGTTGGCAGTTTTAATGTTTTGAATTGGACTGGGCTGTGTACAAAAATATTTGCTCAACTATACCTACATTAATTCAACATGCATTGATAAAAATCTTTTAACATCAAATCTCATACAACATTTCAGAAATAGACAATTGTCTCGCAGCCCATAATGCTCTATTGTATTTCCAAGCAAATTTCGATTTATATCTCTGTGCCAGGTTAAAGACAACTTTCAACCCCCTAGCCATCTGATCATATCACTAATACAAAGTATTTCTATAAAATTTTATCAAATCAAACCAAGATACAGTCTAAAAACATTCATTAGATCTCATCATGGGCAAAGTGAGCTTGAATTTCCAAGTTATATATATCCTACCTATAGCATCATAATAAAACTGAGCAGGTTTATGGGATCCATTAGCTAAAACTTGACGTGCTATATCTTCAAATACAAGAGGTCTACTTTCCAAATTCATCATCATCATGGATTGTAGTTGTCTCTTGGCTCTCTTTAATTCTTCCTGAAAAGACATCATTGTACAAAGATAGGTACAATATACTCCTGATAATCAAGTAAATAAAGAAAACTGGAAACTGATATTCCAGATATAAATGGCCCTGATTAACACATTGCAATCAAAGTTGCTGATACACATACATATACATGTTTATTATTTATGAAAATTAAGTAACATGTTTCTTAAATGAAATAGCATGATCAGAGCTTAAATCCTAATTTTGTGCATCCAATTTGGTCTAATGAAGACCAACAACACCAAGGTACAATGATTGAAATTTTGCTAAAACAGCGGCATTAGCCTACTCTTTTGTAAGCAAATATGTAAACCACCGCAGCGCCAAGAGTGTTTTATTTAAAACCAAATATTGGTCCTGAGTCTGGTTTTGTGGATTTTTGACTCTATGATTTTCAAATATCCTCAAAATCAAACTAACAATCAGAAGTTTTGAAGCTCTAAGCAGACTGTCAAATACAATAAAATCAATAACTCTGAAGACAATGGATATCAAAAATAAAACCAACCTCATATATCTTTCCAGTGGTATTTAATAATTCTTTTATAATAACATCTACTAGTTTATTTAACTAAAATAGACAAAATGATAAATCAATATTTCATGCAATACTATCATACAAAAAATCAGTCTAAAATTTTACTGTATTGTTTACAGGAGTCAACTCAGACTGAACTAAAACTAGATTTGTTTTTCCTCTCATGCTTTGAAAGGTAAAAATTATAGTCACATTTTTTGCTTATGTTGTTGAAATCTATTTCATTTGTACTAAATCCAGCTGTAAATCTAAAAATAATTCTAAATCTTACCATAGTAGGATGAGAGCTACCACGAATATAAAATAAACCACTATCATTATAAGCTATACAATCTGCAGTAGCTGTTTCTATCCATGGATATCTAAAATATAAAATAAACCACTATCATTATAAGCTATACAATCTGCAGTAGCTGTTTTTATCAATGAAATCTAAAATATAAAATAAATAACAATCATTATAGACCATAAAATCTGCAGTAGCTGTTTTTATCAATGGATATCTAAAATATAAAATAAACAACAATCATTATAGACCATACAATCTGCAGTAGCTGTTTTTTATCAATGGATGTCTAAAATATAAAATAAACAACAATCATTATAGACCATACAATCTTCAGTAGCTGTTTTTATCAATGGATATCTAAAATATAAAATAAACAACAATCATTATAGACCATACAATCTGCAGTAGCAGTTTCTATCCATGGATATCTAAAGTATAAAATAAACAACAATCATTATAGACCATACAATCTGCAGTAGTTGTTTCTATACATAGATATCTAAAATATAAAATAACCCACTATCATTATAGACCATACAATCTGCAGTAGCTGTTTTTATCAATGGATATCTAAAATATAAAATAAACAACAATCATTATAGACCATACAATCTGCAGTAGCTGTTTTTATCAATGGATATCTAAAATATAAAATAAACAACAATCATTATAGACCATACAATCTGCAGTAGCTGTTTTTATCAATGGATATCTAAAATATAAAATAAACAACAATCATTATAGACCATACAATCTGCAGTAGCTGTTTCTATACATGGATATCTAAAATATAAAATAAACAACTATCATTATAGACCATACAATCTGCAGTAGCTGTTTCTATACATGGATATCTAAAATATAAAATAAACCACTATCATTATAGACCATACAATCTGCAGTAGCTGTTTTTATACATGGATATCTAAAATATAAAATAAACCAATGTCATTATAGACCATATAATCTGCAGTAGCTGTTTTTATCAATGGATATCTAAAATATAAAATAAATAACAATTATTAAAGACAATACAATCTGTAGTAGCTGTTTCTATCCATGGATATCTAAAATATAAAATAAACAACTATCATTATAGACCATACAATCTGCAGTAGCTGTTTTTATCAATGGATATCTAAAATATAAAATAAACAACAATCATTATAGACCATACAATCTGCAGTAGCTGTTTCTATCAATGGATATCTAAAATATAAAATAAACAACAATCATTATAGACCATACAATCTGCAGTAGCTGTTTCTATCCATGGATATCTAAAATATAAAATAAACAACTATCATTATAGACCATACAATCTGCAGTAGCTGTTTTTATCGATGGATATCTAAAATATAAAATAAACAACAATCATTATAGACCACACAATCTGAAGTAGCTGTTTTTATACATGGATATCTAAAATATAAAATAAACAACAATCATTATAGACCATACAATCTGCAGTAGCTGTTTTTATCAATGGATATCTAAAATATAAAATAAACAACAATCATTATAGACCATACAATCTGCAATAGCTGTTTCTATACATGGATATCTAAAATATAAAATAAACAACTATCATTATAGACCATACAATCTGCAGTAGCTCTTTCTATATATGGACAAAAATATACAATAAACAACTATCATTATAGACCATACAATCTGCAGTAGCTGTTTCTATCAATGGATATCTAAAATATAAAATAAACAACAATCATTATAGACCATACAATCTGCAGTAGCTGTTTTTATCAATGGATATCTAAAATATAAAATAAACACCAATCATTGTAGATCACACAATCTGCAGTAGCTGTTTCTATACATGGATATCTAAAATATAAAATAAACAACAATCATTATAGACCATACAATCTGCAGATGCTGTTTCTATCAATGGATATCTAAAATATAAAATAAACAACAATCATTATAGACCGTACAATCTGCAGTAGCTGTTTCTATCAATGGATATCTAAAATATAAAATGAACAACAATCATTATAGACCATACAATCTGCAGTAGCTGTTTTTATCAATGGATATCTAAAATATAAAATAAACAACAATCATTATAGACCACACAATCTGCAGTAGCTGTTTTTATCAATGGATATCTAAAATATAAAATAAACAACAATCATTATAGACCATACAATCTGCAGTAGCTGTTTTTATCAATGGATATCTAAAATATAAAATAAACCACTGTCATTATAGACCATACAATCTGAAGTAGCTGTTTCTATACATGGATATCTAAAATATAAAATAACCCACTATCCCATTGTGCATGTCCATACAAAGTTTTATCCAAAGAAAACTGTACATTCTACCAATCTATGTAACTTGGGGTAATGGTGATATACGTTCACATTTTTCATGTGAGCAAATAAAAATATTAAAACGATGACTTACCTTTGGATAACATTTCTATATAATCTGGTGTACAAGCCTTTACCAGGACCTCCTGCTGAGAAGGAACTACCTCTACCCAATAACATAAATAGAACACAAAATGCTATGTAATCTGGATCATTATGAGAACAGCTTTCAAACCCTAGTACAACATGAGCTAATTCTGGCATTGCACTAGATGATAAACTCACATTAGATAAATCTTTTTCTTGCTGAAATATAGAAAAATAATTTATTGGATAAAAAATCAAGCTATTAAAAATCACATGTACCGTATGTAATTCAGACAATTATCAAGTGGAACTATTGTCTATCTTCAGGTGGACCCAAGACTGTCAACATGGAAATTAAATGAATGAATTTGATGATTTAAATATTTTTGGCAGAAATTTATCAGATTCAACGCTTTTTGGCTCCTAGCTTGTTAACATTCTATACTACCAGCATTAAAAGCATGATGTTTCCCATATTCATTTAACTTTTAGGATTTGAAACAATATACAATTTCAATTAGAGCGCACAAAAAAATAAACCTACCTTAACAATACCACCGGTGTACTGTGATATAGAACCATCTAACTTTTTACTTTTATCTATCAATTCTGAGTTCTCTTGCCAAATGGGTTGTTTTTCTTCTATCATGAACTTTTTTGTTAATTCTACTAGTTGTGAATGGTCTACACCAGCACCAGCTATCACAGTACGAAATGGTAGGTGTACAGAGTTTAAATATGTATATAATATACCTCTATCTATCTTATGACTGCTTTCTATTTGACCGTATTTAGGTAGACCTAATGTATTATCTCTATATGCTGCCTGAAAATATACATAATACCAAAATATAGTTAGGAAGTATACTGATATAGAACGTGTCATAAAAATACAATCATTTCAAAGGCACAGGGTATAGAAGGTATTGTGTTGTAATTTCAAAGTAATAATTATGGCTATTAAATCTTTACAATCACAAGTATCATCACGTCAAATAAATAGCCTTTTATCCTGATGTATATTTATTTGAAATAGCTTGTAAATTATTTTGTAAAGAAAATATCAAATCAAAGATGTGTACCTTATAGATCATTTCATCTAATAATATACTAGGATTAGGATCATTGTTAATATCATCTGTTTCATAGTTTATAGCCTGTCTGACATCTTCTATCTATAATAAAATCAGTATAACTACATCATATCATCTGACTATTATGAAACACTACAAACAACATGATTTAACACTCGTACATCATTATCATGCTCCAGATATTGACAAAGCAGGTTTGAAGGATGGTGCCAATAATGAAAAATGATGAGGTCTCAGAACAGTTTAATATTTCAAAGTGGTGCATATTATTTAATGTGTATCTCAGATTTACTATTTATACCAAATTTTCCAATGCTGTGTATCCAATTATGTTTTGTCTAATTTACAAATAAATTTTATGTCCATTTTAAGTTTATAATGTATTTGTTTCATTATAACATAAACAAAATAGATACTACCTCTTTTTCAGTCATTTTTGGTCGTAATACTGTTTCACCTAAAATATCTACAGCTTCAGATAAACCACGTTTTTCAGCTGATATAGCATAAAATGTAACATCCCTGAAAGATATAAAATATGTTGATAAGTAAAATAAATATTACCATAAATACACACAATCCAACACATACACAGATTCAAGATTCAAAGTAATAGAATCGTAATACAACACATCTTAAGGGCTCAATTCCAAGTTTGTTACATTTTGAATCTTATACAACAAGAAGTTGCCCATTAAAAGGTAGCCTCTTCATTCCAAATGATCAGTGATATTTCAGAGTAATTAAAACATTGTCTGAAGCTAAAGAATTTTTTTTTGTGAGTACAGCTTTTTATAAGGCAATAATACTTACTTTGTACTTATACAATCAAATATTCCACCATGTTTGTCTAATTTTTCAGCTATAGCATCACTGCTATCATATTTAGTTGTAGCCTAGAATAAAATATCATCAGATACTTTTGAACTTAAAATTTAATTGATACAGGCTCCCATAGATACAAATTGTCCGGTTTTTGCTAAGAAATTTTTTTTCCAAGAAAGCATAATCCATAAAGTTCTTTCGTACGGTCATTTCCCTTCATGAGTTAAGCCCAAAATATAAACAAGTATACTTACACCAAACGCTAACTTTTGAAGAAAATGTGTCACACCACTAGGATAAGAGACTTCATATCTTGATCCAGAATCAATGGCAACTAAAAAAAATAAAAATACAGACCTGGACAACTAAAATAAAACAATAAGCTTAATTAAGCTTAAGCTTAATAAAATATAAAAGAAATCAATAAAGAGGGATGAAAAAAAAGGGTATAGTCCTTCTGTTGTCCTAAACAATTTCATGACTTTTTTCAGTCATAAGAGATTTTCTATGAGAACTTAGAGGTAGAGTCTTACTTTTCCTGTCACGTTTACTATCAAGATCAATAATACTGGTGCTTGAACAAATTTAGAAGGCATAGTGTATGTAACCATAACAGTGAGAGTGTGTGCTGTTGCATGTCTCTAGACTCTTCCATACATAAAGATGGTCTTATTAATAAAAAGCATCTGTTAGTCTTATAACCTACTTACCTCCAACTGTACAAAACTGACTAAAATGATAATTTTGTGAAGCTACAGTCAAGCCATTATCTAAGACAGTAACATTCGTTTCATAAGTCTGCTTATCAGCTAGAGAATATTTGGGTAAATTGAAATTAGGTAATGGTTGAGATAATGGTACATTGACTATACTCTCACTATTTCCAGTTTTACTGCAGAAAGTTCTTTGAATGCGTTTCCTGAAAGTAAATAATTTTTTTTAAATGTTTCACCTTCTATTTCTTTTTAACTTTTATTTCAAATCAAATAAACTAAAATTAAGTCACAGAAAGTGAGGCCTACTTTCAACATTTCTACGATATACCGATATGTTTTATGGGGATTGTTAATAGCGTATTTTTGTCTTATGTCAAAGCAGGAACATTATCAATTTATGTAGGCCCACTACCACACTAGGTATTTGAAATATCTCGTATATATAGGCCTAGTCTAAAAGCAGACAGATTATTAAAATAAAGATAGCAAATGAAGTGCATTTCTAAGACCCTTTTTTGTACCATAATTAGAATCTAGCCATGAATCTTATTGACAATATCATTAGGCATATCTATATCCTTTAGAATAAAACAATAATCTTTTTATGATGACTTTACAATTGGTGTAAAGGGAGAGAAAAATTTGTTTAGAATTGTTTTCAACGACACCAGCGTCCGATTTCCTATGTCGGCAATGAAATCATTAGGCTACAGTAATGTCATCATCTTTTTTTATGAAACCAACATGGCAAGTGGAGTGGCTATGCCAAATGTCATTCTTGCTTTTTCAATAGATTACAAGCATAGGGTAATGCACAGTTAGTTGTACATACAACGGGAGGGGGGCTCAATCGCCATCTAGCAGGAATCATGAAAAGTTAAAGACTACCTCGCATGTTTAGTAATATTATTATGAAAACCACGACTTCCAAAGCGAGCTGCCATCTTGGTTGCCATAAACGGGAATGCAATTACGACAATAAAGGAGCGATGTCTGACTCAAATGTACTCTGACGGATTGAAATGAATCAAAATATTTCAATATATCCCAAAATCGAATTAGAGATTCAGGACTACTTAGTGATTCTTTTTTATATTATTAGTTTCTAACACTAAAAACTGAGCAGGTTAGCCTGTTTACCATCTTCTTAATGTCAATTATAGAGTTAGGCCCCTATTATAGGCCTATAACTTAGTATGATGTAAAGCTTCGTAATACACCCCCTTTCTTGTAGGTATCATGGAATGAAGCGATTTGATTGGATTATACGTAAGTGAATACAATCAATCAGAGCCGTTGACATAAAGACTGTAAACATTTTGGCTTATTATTTACAGACTTTCTGTTGAGACCTCTGATTGACTGTATTCATTTGTAAAACCCAATCAAACGACTGCATATCAAAACATCTGTAACACAAAGAGGTGGCCATTGCAATCAAGGTGGGCTATAAGACAAGGTTCGTAAAATCTTAAAATTGTGAAGATGGTTATGTAGTCTACATGTATTAAAAATATTAAGTTATTGCCCATGTTCTTGAAAAAGTCTTCAATTCTAGCCTGCGAACACTCTAGAAGGCACAATTCTTGACGGAAACTTGGTGGAAGTATTCATGATCATCCAAGGAGGTACCCTAATAAAAACTTTTATATAAAATCAAAGCTGCCAGTGGGCGTATATTACATTGACTGACAAGCTATCTTTAATAGGCCTATTAGCAGAATGTCAAGAGCCTGTGATATTTCTAGTCTGTATATTTACAGAAAGAAAAAACAAATTTATTATGATATAATGTCTATAATATCACATTTTTTACCTGCTTCTAAAGAATATCTTTCATTTCAAATTTCAAATTCAGGATTGGGTTAACATTCAATACTTTGAAAGGGTTGGTGTGTCATGAAATGATTTTATGGATAGTCAAGATTTGTAAGCAGCTTCATGTACACTACTTTAAGTCTGATATGTTCACCGATGAATAAACTGACGTCTCATGTTCTGTATCAGACATAATATGTGAGATATGTAAAAAGTAGGCGTGCATATTCGGCACTCGTAAGCCTTGCACAACTTGCAACGTAAAATTACCGGAAACTTTAAAGACCAATAGTACAGAAATCTCAAATGAAAACAAAACAAAAAACTTTGAAATGCACTGTTTGCGATTAAAAGCACAAAGCAAAATTGAAATGAAAGGTAGGCTCTATGTTATTTTTATAATTTCCGTTTTTAAATTTTTCCAGAAAAGCTGTTTATTTAGACTATTACATAGATATTACACATACATTACAAAATATACAAAGTATATCTACACATATAGTCTCACGTTTAATGTAACCTTTAACATCATATGGCGGACATTCCCATACAATGGCATGCTATTTTTATAAGTAAACCATGTCAACTATAAAGAATAATGTGAAGTGAAAATATGTCTTGGTAAGCTCTTTACACTAAATATATACCGTATATCCTATAATAATGTAATTAATTTGAGTATAGGAAGGAAGTACTATATATGAATATTATAATTGTGTATCATTAATATAGCAACACCTCCAATATACAAGTCTTATTATTAAAGTGATATAGTGCTCTATTTTTTTTTTTTTGAAACCACTACTAGAATTTCTGAATCATTTATTCGTATGCAAAATGTATGCTAAAATTTAGAATCTGTAAAACGTGTTTTATGATGGTGGCTCACGAAAGAAAATTTTGGTAATTCAACACTGGACATTTTTAGTCTTATTTTGCACATAGTGCCAAACAACTTACATATTTCTAGGACAAACGATTAATGAATAATCAAACGGGATATATGTATTTTGTCCGAATCAAAAGCCCCAACCATCAATAATTATGGTTCTGGGGCTGACTGACTCGAATTCGACAGAAAGTCCCATCATTCTTTATCATCAGTTATTGGCTGCTATTGGGTCAAACTTTTACAGAATATAATTTAAAAGAAGAAAATTTCTAGTTCTTATATAGAATATTAATTTTAATACCCTGCAGTGAACACACGAGACGATCGGCATTTTAATCGATTTGATTTGACTTACGACTTGAAATTTGATTAGGTTTTACAGTTTGCGATTTGCAGCTGTTTAGTATATTTTTCTTTTATCATTAACTATAGACCAAACCTGCTGTACAGTCTTACATGGATTGGAAATTGGAAATAAGCAGCTTCTAGGGTACCATTTGCTGCGATCACAGGTACCCCTATGGGCATCATCACAATGTCAAACTATTAAGAACTGTATCTTACATCTTAACTGCAAAAGCCACATTTCTTGTATCACAGACTTTTGTAAATGCAGCGGTTTGGTTGAATTGTACGTTAGCGAATACAGAGTTCTCGACAATAGTCTGAAAGAAATTAGCCATAATTTTTACAAAGAGCTATGATTGGCTATATTCACTGGCTATATTCAGAAGCATTCGCTAGGGTAAAATTCAACCACATCGCTGCATTTACTAACATCTGTGATACAAGAAAGGTGGCTATTTCAGTCAAGGTATAAGACGCAGCTTGACACGGTGAAGATCCCCCGTGAGTAAGTATTTCTGATTGGCTTTACAGATTTGAATGTATATTGATAAATTTCGAAAAGCCCGAATCTATGTGTCAACTTATATAAATAATATTACTGAAAAATGTGATTGATGTTAGGCATTGTTACCATCTGTCTCCAGCCCTTTGACTGACAGGGAAATCTAAAATTTGAACAGCTTGTTCGCTAGAATATCATACCTAATCGATATCATAGGAGCAGCGTTGGCTTGAAACATATTGATGGTGAAATAAAACACATTCATATAGTAAATATCATTCGACCGTGTCTAACAGAATTGGAAACTTGTTCTTCAGATTATACACGTGCGTCAGAACTGGGTTTGATATTTGTATTAAAAGTGTTTTTTTTTTTGGTGACGCATAAGGATTTTATACTAAGTGTTGGATTATCTCAGAAAAAATTCCCAACAAATTTCTTTCGATCGATTTGGAACAGAATGTTATATTTACTTTTCTTATTTGTCAAAAAGTTTTAAAATTACTCGCGAAACATTTATAAAGTATATCTGTGTTATTTGAGACCGTCAGAAAATAAATGCTATGTAATGACGTAGCCATGTTATGAAACTGTTCGAATCTTTTGAAGTATATTGAACCTATATCGTATGACACATACAGATTTTTCAAACCGTGGGCGTATTCAAATTATGACTAAATGTGTGCGAAATTGTAAATTGGAATTAACATTCTCATCATAAAGTAGATATAAAACAGAGCAAAGATGGCTAATTACCGATCTCAACCTCAAATCAAAATCTTTCATTCTAATGTCGTCCTAAGATTTTTTACTTTTTTTTTGTGTTTGTTTATTAAATCAACTTTAACAAATGATGACTATTTAAATTGTGAAAAAGATGGGAAATTCTTTGCTTGTCATAGTGCTCCACAGTTTATGGACTTTGTGACCAATGAAAATTTTAACATCAGAGTGGAACCACCGGATTATACATGTGGAAACCCCAAGTCGTCATATTTCAGATTGGGAGAGGTAAGATTATAGATAGTTACTTATAATTTAAAATGAAGAAAGGGTTATTTAATTATTTTTTGTATACGGTATATCAAGCTTGGTTGCAGAGTGGCATCGGGTATTCTGATAATTGTATCCCAATCCTTCTCTCCCACCCTTAATCCCGTGGGTATGTAATATATCCTGAGGGAGAATATGGGTGTGGTGTTTATATAGTATATATGACGATATGGGTCGAATTTTCTTGACTGTTTGTAGCTACGGGTATGGTACGTACGGACGTTATAAATTAATGATGTGATAGCATCAAAAATAACGTTTTTCTTGTCTTTACCGGTCCTGGACAAAGACAACGAATTCCAAAATTAACAAGTGTAAAATCTTGGTGCGGTAATCCCTTTTCTGAAAGTAGAAAACACGGATGATTATTTGAGCATCATTGTATGACTTAAGCGTTCAACTTACAAAACTTCTCCTGCTGAATCGAACGTGTCATTTAAAATTATTAGATTTTTTTTCAGAACTTCTGTATTATTTCTTGACCATGACCAAAATTGTTGCTAAGGGGCAACATATCATCGCTTTACCAGATGGGGCAGTTAAACGGTGCGTTTCTGTTGAATTTCAGAAGATCGACAGACGATGATTAACTCGAAATACTGGAACACAGTCATTACAAACGTACTTATGAAATTAGTTTTAATTTCTGACTATCTGTGCATAATCATAAAGTTTTTCTGTGTCAGTCCCTCCGATCTGATAGGAAATTGAAGAAACCGATGGTATCATACGTACATTAGCTGGCAGATGGAACCCCAACGGATTGGATTGATCTCAGGAATTCGTTCATTTGGCGCTCGTTTAAAAAATTCTAAATGATCTATATAGAAGCTGATTTAAAATAATACGTGTTATTATTCTCGCTCATAGAGATAATACACTGTGTAATAAGCAACTATCTATTTTCAAAATAGAGTAAAATTTACTGAAAATGACATAGTTCTGTATTGTTTAGTAATTTGGGTTAATCCACTCATAATAGATCTGAATAAGTATAAACACCAGTCATACACTTTACAAGTATATTCTAACCAATAAGACAGTGTTAGAAGTGCTGCATATGACGTGTATACACTTATGTAAGCATACACACCCATGATCGATAGCAACCTTTATTTGATATGCAAAGTTATTTGTGAACAATATACAATGGCTCAATGAGTCATGCTAAACTGAAGGATCAGCTGTGCTTTAGAAGTCTCAGAAATAAAAAATTCTGTAAACTTTGTACAGATTAACATATATTTATTTAAATGAAAACAAAAACCTTAATATTTTGCGTAAAATTCTATACACTATATAATAGATAAAAAAAAAACTCAATGTTCCGGTCACATATTCTACCTTTGAAAAGAATGATTTGATGTTATATAATAAAACTGGAATATGGTCATACTTTACCATTTGAAAGTGTGTCACTGATATTAAAATTGATAATCATTCAATATTTCGCATGAACTAAATTTAACTCAAATCGAGGTAGGATGCCTATGGAGAGAACCATCGTCTTTGAAAAAGACACACACAAAATTACGTATGATTCTTATATGTAAATAACACACACGGACTTCATTCACAATCAACGGTGATTGGGTTCCACAATAAAGGTTATTGGTTGATGCTATGACTGTCTCGCCATTCTTCTTAATTCATTTCCGCATGTCTCATATAGGTGCTACGTCATCGGATTCTGGCCAAAGCCATTACTGAAACTAAACACCATACATCATTGTCCCTCCGGACATATTTTTTGCCCCTCCGTACAAACAAGTCTGGTCAGGTGAGATAGATGTCAGTAGAAAGTCTGATGATTATATTATGATACAAAAGTGTCAATTAATAAAACGCCTACCTCTATATGTGCACCCAACCATCAGTATGTAACAAATTAAAGCTGTCATCATTAACAAAACAACGCTTTCTGCCAGTCTCTGTCAGGGTTAGACTTTTAAGAGTCTGTAAATGAAGAGGATCAAGTGTACCGTAAAGATACTAGTAATATACTTAAGCTGTAGTGGCTGATGGCGTCGGCGAAAAAAGCGTTACCTTGAGATGCTCACAGAGCAATAATGCGTGATCGGCAACTGGCCTGTCTATATAGTTTCAAGATTATCAGGAAAGGTTGAGTTGGATACTTGTGATTATTTTCTTGTCAATTTTGCAAATTTGCTAGTCAGTTTACTTTAACTTGAAACAGATTCGGCAATGTTAGATGTTAAGATCCCCTAACATCCTACGTGCAATGACTTCATGCTATCCCCCAACATTAATTGCGAAATTTTCTCCTCGACCTGTGCTTTCGTAATTTCAATTATATATTGTTTTTACAACCACTTTCACCTAACGTCTTACATACATGGCTTACGGCTATGATTTTCTTCCATTGAAATTTGTCTTTCTAGTCAAATATGGTGCTAAACGCAGATGGACTCCATTTAATTTCATACTGAAAGGTCTTTTAGTAAATTTTGACACGGACAAATAATGTATCAGAACTGTATGTAACATATGGCCGGGACGTACCTGAATTTATTTACTTAAAACTTGAACACAACAATATAAAATCAATAGAATATTCGTTCTATTTTGATATTTGAGTAATAGTATAGAAGTAATCGATGAGTAAATAGAATAGAAAGTTTATTATCAGGTGACACCTATATCACCTGTATATCATTAATTAGCTTTAATTCTTATACTTATAAAATATATAATTAATACTGGAGTCATTATTTTATACTATTTACACGCGACAATGACTATAGATACGATATGCACTCAGAATTAATTACAACATTTATTATTCCTTGCAAATGAAAAAAATAGCCGACAATGGCAAGATACCTAGAATTGATATGCTTTTCCGTCTTTACAACGTTTTACAGTAAAAGGGGTATATTTTCCACTGCTTCTTAACACTTTTCTTGACATTGTGCAGACTACTTCATTTATTAGACACTTCAAATATATTTAAAATTTGCCATGTTTCAACAGTTGAATCAATGAAAGCTCATAATCGGAGAAAAAACCTTGGTATGTGGGCTAAAGAATTGGGACGTTGACCAATTCACAACATTCAAATGGATTTAAGGTTTTTGACGAGTTTACAAAATGCCGATATGAAGATTCTTTAATTCCATGTCACAATCTTTTCATTCAAACAATAACTTTCAGAATACCCATTTCGATTCAGAAAACCACAAACCGCGACAATAATATAAATGACTATAATGTATGCCTGTTGACATTTCAAAATGTTTGCTTCATAACCTCGAAATCAGACAAAGTGCGCACTTTGTGTTGAAATATGTCGAATCTGAATTCCCTCGAATAAGAACCCTAGTGATGGGAATATCAGCTTAATTGGAAGCAAACCTTATAGTTTTCTAATAAATATAGATGGCTTTGGTCATTCAAGGCTCGGTCAAAGCACCCAGACTAGAGACAAAATTCTCTTGGTACCATGCAGTATATACATCTGTCCAATATAAACAAAATAAGGTATCAGAGGCTAATTACAACACTGTGATATCCCACATATAAATATTCCGACAATCTGCGTAATCCGACATCTTCTTTCTGGTCCCGATTGACTTCCTTCTTATGTCAGTTTAAAAATAGAAAAAATCATAAATGTCTAGGAAACAATCAATATATATAAATCCCATAATAACCCGCCACATTCAAATATTCGTTGATAAAAATGTCTTGTCTATTTCAGAATGTTGGATCTCTAATGACATGTGATGCTTCAGTTCCAGCTCAGAATCATCCTGTTGAAGCTATGGTGGACAAAGGAGATAGTGAACCTTTAGATACTAGTACCTGGTGGCAATCCATCACATGGCCCATTTCCCTGTATGAACAAACAAACAACTTTGAAGTGTCCATACTAATGTCATTTAATAAATCATTTAGGATGACCGGTGATATGAAAATAGTGTTTAATTCTGGTAGACCAACAGACATGATTTTGGAAAAGTCGTCAGATTATGGAGTTACATGGACGCCGATACAATATTATGCTCGAAATTGTAAGAAATATTACGATCAAGGAATTGCGCGGGAAATAACACTGGACAAAGCAGACGTGGTAATATGCACAGAAAGATACAGTGGTAATGTATTCAATCCTCAACCAGGACTTCAAGTTGACTTTGCAGCCTTCTCTGATCGTTATATATTGTTATTTCCAAACGAAAACTATACAGTGTATTATAACTCAATGGGAAATTCGAATCTACTCAAGTTTTTCAGTTTTACTGATCTGAAAATACGTCTGTTACATCCCGCTACAGATGCCAGAGAAACATCTCGACAGCAGACCGACTTTCTGAAATATTATTATGCTATTTCTGATATATCAATAGAAGCAAGGTAATATAGTTCATTTCGTTCATGTCATCGTGATCTTAGCCGTAATGATATTAACCATGTTCTCTTGTATAAAGTTATTGATTAATTTACATGCATAACTTTTACTTAAATGTGTCAATCAGCACCCTTTTTACATACATAAAACATTCAACAGGACAGATGGTTGCATCTGACCGGGGCAATCTGGCCTTCGTATACTATCGTTGTGCAAGTAAAGTTCTTTGCAGCAATGCGCATCCATGATAAGTGTTTTTGTGCATGGCCCAAAGTTGAGGGAGACAAATTTTGTTAAAACAGAAAAAATAGAAAAAAAGACAATTTTAAGCATTTTGTCCAAGTTGTCCAAGCTACCAACATTTTCCTTTCAAAAATGAGATTAGGGTGTTCAAGATTTTTGCTCACGAATTTTACAATTATTTTGATTCAGTCAATGGAATACATACAGTTCGATGAGTAGCCTATATCATTGTAACGTAATGGACATGTGGTGAGCAAAGCAAGATAAATTACTGAACTAGATTGAGGGTGTTCTTATCTTCCACTACTTTTGCAAAAACGAGATATATATCTTGTTTTATTCCTAGACAAGAAAGCTATAGTACCTCCTGCCTTTTAATTCCAGATGCCACTGTAACCTTCACAGTAGTAGCTGTACTTATGTCGATGGTCAAGCAACGTGTCAATGTAAACATTTTACTACTGGAGTGGATTGTGATGAATGTTTACCTATGTATAATAATAAACCATGGAGGCCTGGTACCTATTCACCATATCCTACTGGTACAGCTAATCAATGTGAAAGTAAGTTTTACTTTTAAACCAAATGTCCTTATTGATCTAACTTTCCAGATATCTAATAAATAAAAATCTCTATTTTAATTTGGAAAAAGCTTATTATGGAAATTTTAATGAAATGCGTCTAATACATTGTTAAATGTAAAGTTCCCAAATTTGTATTTCCAAAGAACCTATATCAGATAAACCCTTGAACATAATTTCATTGCAAAATTCACTGCAGAACATAGTGTTCAGTGTAAATTATTTTTAAACAATCAATTTGTCTATCTGGTACTTTTTTATTTGCATAGTTGATACATACTGAATTTTATAATACAATATATATTGAAAACTTTATTAGAAACACAGTTGTACGAGGCAATCTTCCTATACATATATATATATATATTACATATACAAAATAACATATTTACAAAAAGTGATGCCATGGGCAAAATGATAATATGAAAATTTGTAACGTGGCGATAATTATTATAAATATATATGAAGAATTTAATATTGATTAGAATATTTATAAAACATATAAACAGCGACATAATTTCTCAAAATTTTTGTATATACAATATTCGTATATAAAGTAAAAATAATCCATACTTTCGTTCCGTTTTTTATAAACTTCATTAGGGGATAAAGACGGCCTAATTGAACATTCGTCTGTTTGATGACACCGTCAGCCAATCAAATTCCAGCCCTCTCCAACGTTGGGATTTTGTGTCGCGGTCTAAATCCATTCTTACAAGCATTACACACTGAATGCACCTTTTGTTCACGTCTAACAAACGAATGTTCAAGAACGCCGTCTTTAGACACTAACTGAAGTGACTGAATTAAAATTAAAAGTTAAGAAAAAAAAAAACGAAGTTTGAACTAATTTTAGTTAAATTGAAATAATGCATATCTACCGACTGCTGTACTATAAAACGTACATAAACATCTTACATAAATACATCGGGGCAAAGGCGCTAAAATATTCAAACACGATTTGAAAATAAAAGCTGGTGATGTATGGCCATGTATATATGCTTTTTTCATTGCCTCAATATGAATTTTAAGAAGAAGCAATGAATATTCATATGCCAAGTTATTTATTAATCTGATTGATTCATACATTTTAAAGGGACACGCTCGCCATCCGTTTTGATGAATCGTACCTAAGTCTCAAAAACGACCCTTTTTTAGCTTAGCTAATCAGTAATATTGTTTATTGAAATTTGAGCACAAAATGCACAAAATTATCCACGTTTGAAAGTTAAAGTGATGCCTCGACTTTTCTGGATATTTCACCAAATATATAAAAGACATATTAAGAAAAAAAAAAGTGAAATTTTAAAAGTATGAAGTATATTTGAAGGATTTATAAGAGTTTCGTTCAGTTCTAGTAATTCTGAAGACTATTTTCATTTGCATAAAAGATCCAAAACGACCCTCTAAATACGTCATGCATATGCATTCAAGTCAGTAAATGTAAAAAGAAAATATGGTATAATACCAACTGTTTCATATGGCATCCCGTATCCTGCATATATTTTTAATATTATACGGCATTTCAAATTACCGACTGTACTATACTGTTGTGTATTTCATATAGGTAAATAATTCATACATATTTCATAACTTCACACCTAGATAAATAACTACAGTCAATAATATAATCAATAAAATCTATGTCGTTGTATATTTAATATATTTATCATATTTGCTTTTTTTCTCATTGTTCAATTCATTGTACAAAAAAACCCAATTGGAACAACAGCTGTTTAATCGGCGAATCTTATGACGTTATTCAACATAATCAATCATAATTAATTTCAGATATATGTATGATGCATATACGCATATAAAAATAAGTTGTAAATATCATATCACTTATATAAAACTTATTTACTTCATTCAAATGAAATGCATTTACATTTAATTTAAATTAATCAATAGTAATGTTATGTATTAAACTATAATTTATATAAACCTGTTACAGAATTGTGTATGATTGAGTTTAAATACACTGTAAAAGAACGATGTTCGATTATAGCTTAAAATACACTATAAAACAACTGTGTATGATTTAGTTTAAAATACACTATAAAACAACTGTGTATGATTGAGTTTAAAATACACTATAAAACAACTGTGTATGATTGAGTTTAAAATACACTATAAAACAACTGTGTATGATTGAGTTTAAAATACACTATAAAACAACTGTGTATGATTGAGTTTAAAATACACTATAAAACAACTGTGTATGATTTAGTTTAAAATACACTATAAAACAACTGTGTATGATTGAGTTTAAAATACACTATAAAACAACTGTGTATGATTGAGTTTAAAATACACTATAAAACAACTGTGTATGATTGAGTTTAAAATACACTATAAAACAACTGTGTATGATTGAGTTTAAAATACACTATAAAAGAAAGGCGTATGATTTAGTTTAAAATACAATATAAAAGAACGGTGTATGATTTAGTGTAAAAAAATAAACTTATTTGGGAATTTTGTATGATTTAGTATAGTATATCAATTTTGTATGATTTAATAAAAATGATATAAAATAATTGTGAATGATTTTGTAAAAGATATTTAAGTATGAAAAATAAACTTATGTCAAAATCATTTATGTGTTTGTAATATTTGTAATGATTAAGTATGAATTAATTAAATGACATAATTGTGTATGATTTAGTAAAATATAAACCTACAACAGAATTGTGTTTGATAGTAAAATATAAACCAATAACAGCATTGTGTTTGATAGTAAAATATAAACCAATAACAGAATTGCGTTCGATAGTAAAATATAAATCTATAACAGAATTGTATTTGATGGTAAAATATAAACCTATAGCAGCATTGTGTTTGATAGTAAAATATAAACCAATAACAGCATTGTATTTGATAGTAAATATAAACCTACAACAGAATTGTGTTTGATAGTAAAATATAAACCAATAATAGCATTGTGTTTGATAGTAAAATATAAACCTACAACAGAATTGTGTTTGATAGTAAAATATAAACCAATAACAGCATTGTGTTTGATAGTAAAATATAAACCAATAACAGAATTGCGTTCGATAGTAAAATATAAATCTATAACAGAATTGTATTTGATGGTAAAATATAAACCTATAACAGCATTGTGTTTGATAGTAAAATATAAACCAATAACAGCATTGTATTTGATAGTAAAAGATAAACCTATAAGAGAATTGCGTTCGATAGTAAACTATAAACCTATAAGAGAATTGTATTTGATAGAAAAATATAAACCTATAAGAGAATTGTATTTGATAGTAAAATATAAACCTACAACAGAATTGTGTTTGATAGTAAAATATAAACCTACAACAGAATTGTGTTTGATAGTAAAATATAAACCTATAAGAGAATTGTATTTGATAGTAAAATATAAACCCACAACAGAATTGTGTTTGATAGTAAAATATAAACCTACAACAGAATTGTGTCTGATGTGTAAAATATAAAGAGAATTGTGTGTAGCTCTCATATTTTTTCAACAAAATACAATCATATGTGACGCATTAACTTAAAATCGTATTGATGCATCACCATGGATAAAGCACAAAGTGGCCAACCGTTTCCATTTTACATTCAGTTCAATGGTTATCGTACTGTTCACAGTTTTTTTAAAAATAATTTTGTACATGTGCATCAAATAGCGCTACATTATTGTATTATTGTATATATTTGTAGAATGCGAATGCTACGATCATGCTGTTAGTTGTGTATATAATGAAACTATAAGCCAAGGAGTTTGTGTCAATTGTACCCACAACACCACAGGTTATAGCTGTGAAAATTGTCTACCTGGATTCTTTCCTGATGGAAACGTACAATTGAACGACTCGGCCAGATGTATCGGTAAGAATTGTTTTTACTAATAATTTCTGAATTATGGCAACTATAGTCTGAGCGATGAAGCCGTGTTGCAATTAATTTTCTCACCTGCATGCTCCACTCGCTATCTCTCTGATTCCAATAGATAATAATTCAAATAAGAAAAGCCTTTTTTTATTCCACTTTCAGAGTGTTCATGTGAACCATTGGGTGTAACTGACATAACAAGTTCATGTATACAAGAGAGTAACGCGTTAGGTGAAGTACCAGGACAATGTAAATGTAAACCACTAGTAACCGGCAGACGATGTGATGAGTGTGATCCAGAATATTACGGCCTTTTAACTGGTGACACTCCTGGAACGTGTACAAGTAAGCATGATATGTAATCATATACAATGTAATGTAATTGTAATGATAACAATATTTCGTGCACAAAGTTTTAGTTACAGAGCAATATAGAAATTAAGTACTATTCTGTGGGGATACAGACTGAAGTAAACCAATTATATTATTCGGAGATCGCACAGTTTCAGGTTCCGATGTGATATTGCATCTATATAATGATTATTGTCATGATTTGATTATTGCATGATAAACATAATATTTCAGTGTGTAACTGTGATACTGATGGTACTGTCGGCAGAAGTAATGAATGTGCCCAGTCAAATGGCCAGTGTGTATGTAAACCAACCACTGAAAGTAGAAGATGTGATACTTGTAAACCTGGGTTCTATCAGTTTCCTAGGGGTACACCCGCACAGGTACATTTAAACAGTTACTTCATCATGTCATGTCAAAACACGTTTAACTTTATTCAAAGTAACAGTTGTTGATGGGTAAAGAAATTTATAAGAGAACATCCAAATTTCGCTTTAAAATTCTTGTCAAATTTATTCTTTGGATGGTAAATTGTCAATCCTTTTATATAGCCAATATATCATTATGGTGTATTTTCCGACTATTTTGTTTCCCAATCTATCATAAGATTCAGCTTCAGGTGTAGCATCCCAGTTGAGATTTGAGATCTGAGCCTAAACATGATATACAATTTGTGAGGTGTTTATTTCAGGACTGTTTAGCTTGTGGATGTGATACTGGATTGTCCAGAAATAAAACCTGTGACACGTCAACCGGTATATGTCTTTGTAAAGAACATGTTTCTGGTAATAAATGTAAGGCTGTAGAATCCAACTATTATGTACCAGCATTGGATGAGTTCCTACTTCAACCTGAAGGTGGCCAATCTTCAGACTGTACCATGCAAGATGATTTATGGACGTCTGAAAAACCATTTGATGGAAATGAGTTTGCGTCTTGTCCATTGGGCAAAGATACCAATGTATATTTTCAGCAGATACTTGGTGATAAAAAACAAAAAGATGTTACATGGTAAGACTGATTCTTCTATAGATTATTGCACAGGATTACCTTCTAAATTTATTTTACATGCATACAAATGATCTTTAGTCTGGGTCTTGACTTAAAATAAAGACAGGTATTTTTGGTCTTTGGTCTCTGGATTAGACACTAAAGTCTTTTAGTAGTGTGTTCATTGTTCACAGATGCAGAAACTGCCTTTTTGTTAATCAGTTCCATAGATTTTCAACACAATGTAATCATTTCATTTTCAGGTCATACCATCCAGCCATAAGATATACATTGAATACAACAGAAGCTCTAGAAGCTGTTATTAATTTAAAAACTGATGGTGCTAGTGGAGTAGATGTTACTGCTCTACAAACTGAGAATAATGTACCTGTAGATAATGCCTGTAATGTACCAGCAGGAACAGAAGTTGCGACCAATATAACTATTACACTACAACCAGGTAAGGTTTCAGCATCCAATTCAAACTCTTAATGATTTCTCGGTTGGTAGTTGTAACATATTGTCTTAATCAATCCAAAATGTCTCGTATTTGCTTCTAGCAAAGATAACGAACATGGTAGGGTTGTGTTCGAGATGGTCATATAAAGTGTATTATATGTTTGTCGTCACATTTTGATTTATATATTGTACCTTATTGGATTTTGATTTTATTTTCTATGAGTTTAACTGACAAATAGAATCCTGTAATCATTTGACATTGGGATTTCTGTTTTTTAAGGAACCTCATTGGGAGCGGTAGTGGTGAATGAGACAATATCTATTGATTTAAGATGTAAATACACCTTGTCATTATTCTACACTGGAATACAGAACTCAGTAGATGTCATCCTGATAGATTCCGCCATCTTGATTCCTGCTCTAACTGTGATGAATGGTACCGATGTATCTGATAGTTTTAGACTTTATGAAGAACGCAGTGAGCTCACTTTCTTATACTTTCATTGTGAACAATTGATTTGTGAACATATAGATTTCACCAAGAATTAGTTCCTTTCCTAAGAATCCTTTTTTAAATATGCATGTGGAATTATTTTGTGCTTTGTGTGACCTGCAAAAATCATCGGAGTTCCGGCTGATTCTTTCCCGTCTATTCAAATATTAATTAACAAGTGCAGAAAACAGTCCATATAAAATGGTATATTGTAATATTTTGTATATTTATTGTAGACAATACAGATGAAATAATGGCAAGTTATGTAAATTGTGTAGGAAACCTAGTTGGTTTATTAACTAGAGAAGAAGCCGTAAAGAATGAACCATGTACTAGTGTGTTCAGATCTGTTGGTGGTGATCTTCATGATGGTCCAAAATGTAAGAAAGTTTTATGCTAGTCAAATATATACATAAATCTATACTAGCTATGTGAACTTTCTGCAAGATATGCCGAGTTGACGAATCGCAGAGTGGCATCTGGTGTTTAATGATGGGTGCTCACGACTCTTCGCAAGTAATACCCATTAAAGTACCTACAGCGCAGTGGATTTTTTTTTATTGATTTAATAAATTACCTGCCTGTTTTACATTACACAAGATCCATTGTTGCATTACATTGAACATTGTAGTACACATTACCTACATTTAGATGAGTAACTAAAGTTGGTTATTTATTTGTTATATGTTAACAATATTCAAGTCCTGTCAAGACAGGTGTAAATGAATATTAAAAACTCCCGGCGATCACAGTGGCGTTTCCACGGCCCCTGAAATGATGCTGCTTCGGCTTTGACCCCTTCACTTTCAAATTTTAGTGGAAGAATGGTATCCCCCACCCCTCCCCCTGGAAAATTTTGTGGCCCCTGTGTGGCTCCGTCACCTGATGTTTCATAGAAACGCCACTTTTTAAAATGTTTTCTAATTTTTTATTTGACTATCTTTACTTGAGGAATGCGCTGCTGATTATCCTGCTCTTCAACTCTGATTTCAGTATGTACATGTGATCCTATTGGTACAGTAGTAAATACAGTATGTTATAGTATTGGTGGTCAATGTGAATGTAAACCAGGTGTCGGTGGTTTAAAATGTGATCGTTGTCTATCTGGATTTTTTAATTTCACCATTGAAGGGTGTCAACGTAAGTCATATCTTTCATTACTATGCCATCGATGGTTTGCTTGTGTTTATGGGTATCGTATTAATATGGGGTACTATACATGATGTGAAGAAATTGTTCTTTAAATAGTGTTTATTTTATCTGGAAGAGTCATCATAGCTGCTAACTAATCACTACCAAACATTATCATTCATACTACAGATGGTCGCGGCTCAATACTTAGAGCATAAAACATTCTCTATGTAAATGAATCTGACAAAAAAAAATAGCTATAACGGCTTTTTCCAAGTTTTCAGTCCGTTTAAATGTACCTTCAAACAATAAAACAGAATATACAAGAGTTTATTTTTTAAGCTATCATTCATGTGTTTTGCGCTCAGATATGTTTTTTGGAAGAAAAGCAGCAATTTCAGATCTCCGGCTCTCTTATGTTATTTTTGTGTCTTTCCGTTTTTTGTTGTGTTGAAGGTTTTTTTCATTCCTTTGTATTGTACTCTTGATTTTGACTTTCTTTACAACACTTTTTTTTAATTTTTATGTGGGCTGAAGCTTTTTTTATTTTCATTATTCCTTCCTTTCCATGCTGTTTCTTACTCAAAACAACCTGTCTGTAAACTTTTTGTTACCCACCAAATTTTGTGCCAACGTCTTGTTCTTGCTGATCAATTTTTTTTTCAATAATGATAAAAAGTAACTAAATTAAAATTAGAATACAAAATTGTGCCAAATATTTAGAATGGTTAAATTTGCCCCGAATGTTTTGAGTAAGAATGCAATCTATGATTCCTTTTGGTAACTCGGTATTTTTTCTTTCTTTTGCATGTGATAGGCTGTCCCCTGATGCAATGTCCAGTAACTACAACTTCCTTACCACCAACTTCAACGTCCTTTCAACCAGCTGCAAATGCCACAAGTTCAACAGCAGCGAATACTTCCTTTCTTGATGACTCCAGCGAATATTATTTTATTTTAATCGGCTTTGGTTTTGGGTTATTTATCATTTCATTTACTATCTTGCTTTCATTCTGTTTGGAGAGACGAAAGAAAAAATATAACATTGAAAGTGCCAAAGTACCTGCGAAAAACACTAACATGTACGAATTTAATGAACATTTAGCCAGTGGAAAATCAAAACAAAAACACAAAAATGGCATGACTTATTCTCGCGATTCAAATTCTCTTCCTGTGGGACGAGTTGGTTGGAATCACGATCCGGAAAGTTCTGGTGACCTTGAGAGCATTCCAGAGGAAACATCTTCCACAGAAAACGGTGAATCACCGTTCATATTACAGCCAAAACCGAAACCAGTACAGCTCAAACAGCCTTTTAGTATCGATGATTATAATGAATACAATCAGGAAAAACAAGCTAGGAAAAGTGAATCGAACAATAAAACAGATAACTTACACACATTTAAATCGAACACACCCATATCAGTTCCAGCGATGTTCGCAGACGATGTTAAAACTAATCCGCCTGATAAACCTAAGCGAAAGAAACGACCAAAATCGAACAATTTAGCCCAAACGCCAACATTGAGGGCCTCGAGGGTAAATCCGGAATCTAAGACAATGGAATATGTATATCCGGATAATTATGTACCTTCTCGTGAAGAGGAACTCCAACCGTCCACCCAGTCACAAGTGCACAATAAACCGCCAAAACCTGTGCCCAGAAAACCCTCTAGAGCTTCCCATAAACAGACTGACGATTATAATCGTAGCTTTAATCAGCATCAACCTATGGATGAACTCCTGTTGAACAATGTACAGTTGCCTTTTGCGGGTTTCGGTGAATTTGACGAAGTGCACGGTTCAGTTGTGTGAGACGACAGTGTTTTGTTGTTTAAGGTCGTGCAACTTTTAACAATAACTTGTGTTATTAAAAATAAAAATAATTATATATAGGGCAATACACAAAAGATTGTGAATTTTTTTATAGAGAAGCGAAAATATTATGAGAAAACTTTTCAAACAAGTTTCCTATAAGAAGTAAATATATCACGGCTCTTACGCGTTAACATATATAACGAATGAATCCGACGAGTTTGTTTAAATATATTAATGAGTTACCGTTTTACCCAATGAAATACAAGCTTGTGCAAGTCATGAGTTTTGTTTTCTAAAAAGGGGTTGACCTTCAGCCGTGCAGTAACATCAAAATAGACTAGTTGTAGCGCACCTAAGCTCCACCTACTTTCCTTTTAGATTGTATTTGTTTTTCATGTTAAGTTATCCAAGTATGCTACAACAACAAATTGCTGATAAAATATCATGGTTTTCTTCGAACACACATTTTAAGCAATTAATTTCTTAAAACATCAAAGGAAAAAATGCAATTTATGTTTCAAATTGCAATATTTTATGAATAAACTTTCAAAAAGATTAAGTAGACCTTTCGTGGTTATGTTTTTATGAATCGTACCCTTATTTACATAAATGTATTTATTCGACTATACTTAACAATCGCAAAAAGGCAGCATTTGGATAACGACTACAAACGTTATTGATAATATTATGTTGGAATGAAGTTAATAGGTATTCACCCAACCAGAAATACGAATATCATGGATAATGGGTTTTCATTATAAATATTAAAATATAATTTAAAATAAGCTATCGTTTATTGTATAACGGTCTTATAAAAATTACTTTAAACTTTCGTTCCGTTTTTTTCCCTTCAGTTTAAGTGGCTAACTTAAAAATAAAGCTAATAAAAACGGAATGAAAGTTGAAAATGAATGAAAATATGGCATAGGCCCATGCTGCGGTGTACGGTTCGGGTTTATATATGTAGATACGGTAGAAAATATAAGAAGCGGACCCTGTCTTCATTATGGCTGGACCGTACCTCGTGTATTTGCTCAGTGACTTTTCAGAAAATCATTGGGTGAGGAGGCTTAGTAAGGGCCCCACACAACAAACAATGATCAGAAATTCAAGTATAAGAGGGGGTATCTTTATCCAACACAGTACTGCATCTACTTAATTTATAACAACCTATTCCAGAATTAAATGTAAGAAAATGCTATTTCTGCTTCTGTACAGGTCTGCAAATACAATGAGTACATTTAAAGAGTGTAACAACCTCAGCGCTTATAAACTTTTCATTCATAGAAATTGAAAATTGACTTTTTAATTTTCTTTCCAAGAATTTCGTGTGAAATTTGTGAAAAGTAGAAAGTATATCTCTGACTAAATAGAATAAATTATATACAATATACATTAAATCAACATTAAAGCTTACGGCCAGACATCATGTGATTGTTGTTGTATTAACCTTTGTCAAGAATTTTCTAGTTTTATGTCTTTTTTATTGAATGCACAAATTTCGGAAAGAAAACACCTAAAATTTGAAGACAAACAAAACAGGAAATCAATTACCGACTTCGTAGAATTTGAAATAAACTTGTGGTGGAGGGGTATTTTCAACAAATGTTGGTATAGTCTATGTGGTCTTCGATCTTTCGAATTGATCGAACACCAAGACTTTATTCTTCGAAAATCTCAAATAAGCTGAATTTGAAAATAATAACGTATCATATTTGGTCATTAAAAACAGCATACAAAATACAAAATACCTCTTGTTCGTATATTTACTACTTCATACTGAAATAACAGGTCTGTTAGGGATAGAACATGCTACTAAGAAGCGTCAATTAAATCGTGATTTTTCAATATTTCACATAAACTACCAGCAGCGAAAAGGATAACCTTCTTGTTTTATTAGCATCAAGAAAGTGACAATAAAGACTGCTGATTTTCGACCAGTCCTATTGTGATAACGCACTGGACGAATTGTTATCTCCAATCCTCCATAATATCACACGAAGTTGATTAGTAATTGATAACTGCTGGTTGGTTTAGTTCAGACTTTGACATTATATTTTAGCTTGTAACTGTGAGAGTGGTGGATCTGTTAATGGTGCTTGTGATAGAACTAGTGGTCAGTGTCCCTGTAAGACAAATGTAGCTGTTCTAAGTCAGACAGATACCACTAATACTACCAGTGATAGACAATGTACAGCCTGTATACAGAATTTCTATGGTTATGGTATGAAAGATGGATGTTTACCATGTGAATGTAACCAAGATGGTAGTACTGGTGAACAATGTGCATCTAGTGGACAATGTCCATGTAAAGATACCATTGGTGGTAGAAAATGCGATATCTGTCAAACCAAATATTTCCAATTTTCTGCTGATGGTTGTATGTAAGTAATGATCTTAATATTCTTCTATGTTCTTAATTCTGAAACAACTTATAGGTTTTCAAACACGACACCTCTATGAGTCTGCCTGGTAATGTTGGTTGCACAAAAATCTGAATTCAACATATAATAGACCCATTGGTGTTACAATCCTATTAACCGGGTTGTTTCACTATATTTTCTGATATTTGTAGAAGCTAGTGTTACTTTGGTCAGCGGTTTAATCTTGGATGTCATAACAGTTAAGATCAATACTAATTCTTATACTAGGTTTAGAACATATATATATTATTTTCAGAACATGTAACTGTTCAACAACTGGATCTCTGACTGGTGCCTGTGATATAGCCAGTGGTATTTGTGAATGTAAAGATAATGTAGCTGGTGATAAGTGTGATGAATGTAAACCACAATATTTCAATCTTGAAGACAAGAATCCTAGAGGCTGTCAACCATGCTTCTGTTTTGAACACGGAACTTCTTGTTCATCAGCTACTGGATATACTGCTAAACAACTGACTGTTTCTGGGTAAGTAAAACCATAAACCATGTAGAATAGACATGAAAGGGTATTTTATTGGATCAGAGTGATTGGAGTTTGCAATTATCTCATCTAACCATTAGCTTTTTCAGAACCCATGTTTATGGATTTATGGATTATAGCAAACAAGTAGCCTAGGGCATGGGTCATTAATGAGCATATATTAAGCAGAGTTTATATCGTCTTACATTAAATGCAATGTGGTACTTCACTAATATTCCATGAATATCTGACCAGTATTTACATTATGTAAAGACCAGTATCCAAAATGCTGAATACCTCTTGTTTTCGAAGTGGAGTAGGCCTAGTGCATGTCGCGTTAATTCTATTGATATTCCCATTACAAGGTCTGAAACCCTGGCACCTTCCAATGGTTTATATAAGGCACCAGATAGTTTCAAAGGAGATAGACATTGGTCATATGGTAGAGCATTGTCATTTATGATTAAAACTAATGGCGGAGAAAAGGACTTAAAAGACAGTGATTTGGTGCGATTTGAAAATGAAGGTAATGTATATTGGATCGGCACATTAAATGGATTGAAAGACCATTAAGACAAATGGTATATGTAATAGTAACATCATAATTGACATAAGACTTACCAGAACCACACGGGGCGCATCGGAATTGTGAATCCATAAATCCTCAAAGTATTTTTGTGATGAAAAAAACCAGGGCCCGCATGTGAGCATCTCCTGCTTAATTTATTAATCAAAACAGCCCCAGGTCGGAGAAAAGGTTGTTCCTCAACTGAAGAAGTGGTTAATATTCCAATGTCCTAAATTGGTCAAATAAAAGAAATTAGGAAATAGTTGTTATATCATGTTACTGGATGATTGCAAGTTTGTCCAATATTTTGTAGATATGAGTGTCACCTTCCTCCAAAAGGAATCATTTAAAATAAATCAAACAAACCAGATGATGACTATCCCAATGTACGAATGGAACTGGGTCTATAACGGAACACAAGCGACGGCTGATCAATTTTATCGTAAGTATTGACAATATTTTCCTACATGAACCTAGATATCTCACCTTTTCGGAATACCAAATTCCTACACGAAACCATAGCTTCACGAGCCTCTCCTCTCATATAACACTGCTGCAAAACACATAGTGTTCTACACCATTGCTGCATAAAATTACATTGGGTTTTTGTTTAATTTCAGGTGTATTATCCAATGTTACCAATCTGTATATTAATCAATTTGTGAATGGTACAGAAATATCAATATCTCAGCTTGTTCTTGTATCAGCCCAGAAGACGTCGGGAGCTGGTGATGTTTCCTTCGTAGAACAATGTACCTGTGAAGCTACAAACCTTGTTGCAGGTAGGTCATTTAGTAATTGATTTAGTTAATTTAAGAGTTAGTTGAAATAAGGTACTGGTTCATGCCATGGTTATGGTTGTCCAATATTAACTGTTCTTATTTATGATGGTTTCAATAGGCATCTTTATATTTTGTATAAATAATGGTATATCAAGACCATAATTTTTCAAGTACTAAAATTGGAAAGTTAGCCCTCATGTTAAAACCAGCTGTTCCAGTGAGAAACGTGTAGAAAACAAAGAGGAGCCATTTTCGATTATCTTAAAGATTATCTCCATATCAATCAGAAAATATACAGGTTTATTTATTTATACAGGTTCATCGTGTGAGCGTTGCAGCGAGGGTAACAGACGACCAAACTATCAAAATGATACAAGCTATGCTAAGTGTGAAGCTTGTACTTGTAATGGTCGAGGAGCTACTACACCACCTATGTGTGATGAGTGGACTGGCATCTGTTTAAACTGTAGAAATGGTACCACTGGTAATCAGTGTGAAGCTTGTTCTCCTAACGTTACTGAACCAGACTGTACTACCTGTAAAGATGGCTTTTACGGTTTAGATCAGGACGGCTGTAAACGTAAGTTAGACACTGTATTGTAGGTTCTGAGCTTTTAATGAATCCCGAGTACCAGATGGTTTAGTAGTTACACCAATTGAGTAATTGCCAAAGTACATATGACAAATCCATACTGATCTGATATTAGAACAAATTCTCAATTCATCCTTGAAATATTACCAGTTTGAAACAATTACAAGATCACTTACTGAAAGTCGTTCGTTTGATTAAAATGACCATTATTACATTCCAGCTTGTGAATGTGATGCTATTGGTTCGACTAGTTCTGTGTGTGATAAAGATGCAGGACAATGTACATGTAATCCACATATAACTGGTAGACAATGTAATGAATGTGAAGATAATTATCATAATTTACAATCTACTGGCTGTACGGGTAAGTTCCTTGACTTTTTTAGGCAGAACAAAAACATTTTCATCTCATTTAAGATTCAGATTTATATGCTTGACACATAAGCTGTTTTATTTGAATCAAAATCTACATTAATGGTGTTTTTACATGACCATCTGTATGTAATTCTGCCTCGTTACGAGATCCCAGTGCCAGAAGACCTCAAGAAATCGTTAACATTGCTTACTACCTCTGGGACATGATTGGTGTACAATCATCAGCAACTTCATTATAGGTGACCTCATATTGAAGTATATAGACTTCAAATGTGAGTACAAATCAACCACAAGCTTTTAAAGTTTACAATGATAAACAGCGGGTTCTTTATTTCAGCTTCATCATCAGCGGCTTACTTCAAACAAGAGTTTATATACTGATTAATACGGGTGAAGACCCAAACACTTTAAGCATGATGAGATATTATGTTCCAATCTCCAGCAATGTAACATGTCAATGTATTTTACAGTTTGTAATGATTGTTATGGGCTGGTGATGGTAGAGGTACAGACATTACGAACCAATAGAGATAATTTGACATCAGAGATAGACCAACTACAATCTAATGATGTTACTGCTATTATGGGTACTTTCGACAGCAGGATGACTGACACCAAGTCCGATCGTCAAAAATTACTGACTTATGTAAGTACGGAGTAAAGCTTTCAAGAAGTTGAATCCAGATAACCTTTATTTTGCATACATGTATATTGAAAATGCTAGTTCATGAAGTTTATGGGATATATGTTGTCGTCTAGACAGTGGCAGAGCTACAGAGCTACAGAGCTAACATACAATATTTGTTAAAAAAAAATGAAATCTGTGCCCGAATTGTCTTAAATTAAGATAGTTCGGTAAGGTTTCACCTAACAAGTTAACAAATTCCTTGGCTTACTTCCCTTGGAAAATAGATCATTTAATAATCACATTGTTTTTTTGTGTAAAAAGAAGTTCTAAACTCTTATTCCACCAATAAAAAAAAGTTTAATAAGGTTTCAACTAACAACACACGAGTTCCCTGGCTTACTTCCCTTGGAAAACAGATCATTATAATCAAATTTGGGCAACCTCAGATATCCCCCCCCCCCCCTTCCCCCTGGGACGTAAACCTGGCTCCGCCACTGCGTCTAGATATTACCGGCTAAAAGAACTCAGCTCCAGTTCAAATAGAAATCGACTATCTGTTTTCCTGTAAGAAAAACGAAAACTTGCATTTATTACCGATAGAGCGAAATCATGGATCATAACTTTTGAGAATGTATTATGCTTTGTATATAGCTATTATTGAGTTCTATTAGTTGGTGAAACAGTATTTAGAAGACTATATCTTATCAATATAGTGATCATTTATTCACAATTTTAGTTGAATACAGCAGACACTGCAGAATCCGAGAATCAAGGAAAAATAGACACATTCGAGACAAATATAAAGGGATCGGAGACTAAAGTTAACAAAGTGAAAACTGAGGATAAAGTTAGGATAGAGACTGTACTAGTAGAAGGAGATGGTATATTACAGCAAGCCTTGGATAATAAACAACGAGTAGAGATAACTATAAAAGATATCAAAGATTTGACAGGTAACAATTTAATTTCACGACCATGGTGCCATGGTGATATTCCAAATGTTTGCTTCATATTTTTTGCGTTTAACTCAAGTTGAAAACGTTTGCACCATTTCACTTTCTCACTGCCACAGATCAATTGTTATGCAATAGTTTTCAAAACTACCAACCTGCAGGATATTATCAATTGGTCAGACCAATGAAAGGCTGCATCTTTGCTCGGATATCTTACGCGGTTCCAGCAGCTTCACCAATGTTCAGCTGCCTGCTCTCCATTCTTCCAAAAAGAGGAAGAAAGGGTCTACATTAAGATTCTGATTAGAAAGACTTGTCCACCTCATTTGGCTCAGCTCTAAATGTGTACGGATAATCCAAGAAAGAGGTTTTGGTCAAGGGTCGGCTGGTAGAAAAGATTCTGTGAATCTAAGGTGTAATCCTTGTTCAGAAACCTTAATGGTTTCTCCTTACATTCCAGAGATATCTAAGATTATGTTTCTTATTAGTCTTTGGGACCTTTTTTGAGTAATGTTTAGATAGATACATATTTTAATTCAATTTTAATTCAATTTTATTGTTAGATCCCATCTCACAAACAGTTACAAGATTAGAAGGACTAGCTACTAATATTGTATCGAGTGAAGAAAAACTGGTCAATATGACATCCAGTGCTTCAACTGGACTAGCTGATATCATAAAAATCATAGAAGACTTAGAGAGTATCAGCACTACAGCCAATATAGATGCAACCAAAGTTCTTGAGGTAAGCCTTAGCTATTCACAAATTCTAAAACGGATGAAATCAGTACTTTTGCATCAGTCTTTTACGAGACCTAATACATATATAAACACCCGTGACAGTACTTATTGGAGCTCAAATCCTATAGTCCTTAGACTCAAAGCGTAAAACTAATTTGTTTGAGAATAACCTCAAGAACAATCTTGTCCACCAACAGAGTTATCGGTTTATTGGTGTGTCATTTACCAATTAAATTAGCTATGTGAACTCTCGGACGAGATGGCGAGTTGACATCAGGAGTGGGGCATCGGGTATTCCACAACGCTAATGGCACCCGCCACAGTACTTTTAGTTGAGCGGATATTTAATTAAACAATTGTTTTGGGTAAAAGTATGACCATCAGTATCAGCATTTCTGAGATACGTTGATATGTTTCATTTCAATCCCATTTCATTTCATTTCTTAGGATGTTCAAACAGCTCTTACATCACATCAAAATAATACTAGACGAGTATCAGATTTGATGAAACAGAATGATTTGATGACATCGAGGGGTGAATCAGCTATAACTGAGGCAAGAGATGCTCAAACTACTAGTAACACCACCTACAACACAGCAGTGAAGTTAACAGAAGAACTGACTGATCTGGAGAATTATAATCCAGATATAGCAACACTAACAAATCAAATACAGACTCTTAAACAACAAGCAGAAACACTTAAAACTCAGGTATGTGGTATTTATTTATTTCCCGTGACAGTTATGCATGTTTTTGCTCTAACTGAATTATATACCAACGGATTCTGAAGAACTTCTTCCTTTTGTGATAGTTGGTCAACTTTCAAGGGTAATCGAATCCCTACTGTAAACAAGTAGAATGAAAACATCGCTGAAATTCCATATCACACTCCTTAAAATGTTATGTAGCTGTGAATACATTGGGAATATTTTGCTGGTCAGGAAGTCGAATTGGGATTCTTTACGGGAATCTTAGTAGAGATATAAATTAGGCTTCCTCACCAACAATGATGTGTCCAACCCATTTGCGACTGCATGGACGGGCCTGGAATGTGGACGATGAATGGGAAATGGGAAGAAGTACATTATGTTATTCCTGAATTATGTTTGATTGAATGTAGATGATTACATATTTTCGAATGTGTTTAGGTGGCAAGTGAACAAACGACGGTAAACGATAAACTAATAACAGTAAACAGTGCTGTAACATTAAGTACTAATTTATTACAACAAACAAGAACTCTTCTCACCAGTGTTGAAGAACTCTACACTAGTGTCAGTAATGCTAAGAAAACAGCAAATGAAGCTAAAGCTTCAGAGACTACTATATTTCAAGATGCAACCAATATGTTAGAAACAATGAAAAATTTCGATACAAGACGTCAAGGTAAGGTGCCACACCAAAGCATTGCATTTTAGTAATGGGTGCTGATATCTCAACGCTTTGACAATGAGAGCTGTGGGTACAATGGGGATGTTGTCACAGCGAGAGCTGAGGGTGCAATGGGGGCTGTTGTCACAATAAGATCTGTGGGTACAATGGGGACGTCGTCACAATGAGATCTGTGGGTAAAATGGGGATGTTGTCACAACGAGAGCTGAGGGTGCAACGGGGACTGTTGTCACAATGAGATCTGTGGGTACAATGGGGACGTCGTCACAATGAGATCTGTGGGTACAATGGGGATGTTGTCAAAATGAGATCTGTGGGTAAAATGGGGGCCGCTGTCACAATAAGAGATGTGGGTACCATGGGAATGTTGTCACAATAAGATCTGTGAGTAAAATGGGGGCCGCTGTCACAATGAGAGCTGTGGGTACAATGGGAATGTTGTCACAATGAGAGCTGTGGGTACAATGGGGACTGTTGTCGAAATTTATCGATATCGTTAGTGATACTGAAAATGAACTTTATTATCCTTTCCAAGAAAGCATAATATTGATTATATTCTTTCTCCAGCTGTCGAATTAACTGCTAATAAATCTTTAACTTCTGTCAATGAAGTTAAAACTGTTAGTGAAGAAGTTATAACAGAAGCTGGGAACTTACGAACCTCTCTTACAACAGCACAACAAGATTCCGTAGCAGCTAAAGACGCTGCTCGACAAGCTTACAACATAGCACAACAACAAAATACAGTAAGTAACATTCAATTTGTAGAATGCTGACCTAATTATTAGCTTTACTAGCTGAGAGAGCGCATTATCAGCTAACCTTTTCACATTTAAGTAACATCCTATCTCTGTTTTTTCATCCTTGTAAAGGGCTTAAAGACTTACGAATTATTATTATAGGAATTAAAGCCAGTAGGAGATGATGCTACATTAATTCTTACCAAGGCCCAAACAGAGCTCTCTAATCTGGAAACCAAAGCTGGTCAAGTGACAACCACTAACACTACCATAGTTCAACCTGCAGCTGACACATGTGATGCTTTCTCTACATCTCTGACCAGTTTACAAACCAAAGCAACAACAGCCAATTCCAAAGCACAAAATCTAACAACCACTGGTAGAAACACCAAACAACGGGCCGATTTATTGATAGCTGAAATCAATAAAATTGGTGACGTGGATTTCACGGCTGATACTGCCAGGCTTGCTAGATTAAAGACTGATGTAGAGGCAGCAAGAACAACTTTAACCAATATGAATCTAACAACAACATTAACAAATTTGAAAAATGCAGTCGATGCTCAAAAGGTTTGGCTTGATAATTTTAAATTGGAAAAAGAAAATATTCAGAA